CTGGCCCCTGACCACTTCCCCAATCTTGTTTAACATCACTCTATCTCACTTGATTTCATCCAATTTCAGGTACACTTAAACTCTGCCTGGGCTGTGTTCCCTAGACTTGCGTGGCCCATTCTTTTTGATCATGCATGTGTGAAATTAACTTTCACAGCCTCAGAGATGCCTCCCCCACCTTCACTCATTGTTAGATTTTTCTCTATATGAAATTATTTTATTCATCTGCCTTTCCACAGAGAATTAAGCACTTTGAGCACAGGGATAATTTGTTCCTCATGGTATCCTTCAACCTTAGCACACATTATGCACAATAAATGTTAAACAGATATTTAATGAAGGGGTTACAGAAAGAGTATATTCCTTTTAGATTCCGGCACCTCTAGATTTCTTTCCTGCCTTTTGGTGGTGAAGACAATAATGGGAAAGGGGAGAGACCCATGTTTTAATTAAGTATGACCCCTATCCTACCTAGTGAAGTACATCAGTTTGTAGTCTATACCTGTTCACAATACAACTCGCTTTTAACAGGTAGGTCCAAGATAGCTACCCTTCCTCAGTTAAAAGCCACTAATCTACAGAGGATCAATCATTACCCAATAAAAAACAAAATAGGTTTCTAGAAAGAAAACTATATTATTTCTACTCATTACTCTAAAAATTGAGTTGGGGCCATAAAACTATTAAATACAACAAATACAGTGCTCAAGATACTGGGCAGACATTGCTTACGTGGTTCCTTGCTGGGTTAATGCTACCAACATACCACCCACCACTGCTGGTTGAAGGTGGCTGAAGTAGAAGGCAACCTGCCTCACTCCTCTCCTGCTTCACAAGCATGGAGCACGGAGCTACATTCAGAATATTCAGAAACAAATTCTGAGATATTGCAAACCTTGAATTAGAATTCATTTTAAAGACTCTTAAAAGGGATTTGGGAGAGTACATTTCTTCCTTCATTTTATACTCAAGGGATAATTCTGGAGACATTTGTTTGCAACATGAATTGTTCCAGGATGAATCATCAAACAGGGTTTAGGAGAGTCCAACTTCTCCATGAATGCTTCAAAGCAGAACATGAAGATAACTGTAAGTGAAAAATAACTAAATCCTGATTATCAACCCAAATGAACAAAATGTACTGATTTCTGAGAAGCATTTTAAAAACATTTTACTTAAGTATACACTATTGAATTGCTTGATCAAATATATTAAGTGTACTGTTCAAAACTACTGTGCTGGCCTTGTGCTAACTGAAACTAATATTTACACAGGAAATATTTAAGAGGTAGATTATGTAAGTTTTATTACTGATAAAGAATGTGTACTTCCAGTAAAAAATCCTTCAGTACTACGTCTTAAAGCACTTTGTGACCCAGCCCATCTGCATCAGCTGATTCTCAAGCACTACCTTGTGGGACTTCCTACACATCCTGTCACATTCCTAGTCACCTGCTTTTTATCACCTTGTGTTATTTCAAGTAACTTGTCATATTTCATACTAATAAGCTAGTATTTTGAGAAAATTGAGGAAACTCATAAATCAGCTATGTAGTAAGTTGAGACATAAAACTATTTTGTATTTTCTATTGCCCCATTTCTTGATTGACATACAAAAAAAACTTTTTAAACAAAAATGAGATATTCAACACAGCATTCATATGCTACTGTAACAGTAACTAAGCATGTCAGAAACTTTTTACTTTATGGGATGATTAATACTTCAAGTTTACTTTAAAAAATCTGTAAACTTCGTAAGATAAATAATGTCCAATAAAACAAACCTTTATCAATTGAGTTAAAGATGCCCTATTTTAGAATATTAAAAATTCAATCTAATGAATTATGTAAATTTAACACCATCTTCCATGTGAAACCCCATCATAATATAAAAGTTATTGGTACACTGGACATTCCTTTTATGGCATATACCTGAGTCAGAAATATGTGATATTAAACAATAGAAACTGGAAAAGCTACTGTGGTGAACTTGGTAGTGAACTTTTGTCATATTTTAAATTTTTCAATTACAGTCTACTTTCAATATTATTTTGTACTCCCAAGTATACATGTACACACAGACAAAAACTCTGGCCAACCATTATTGTGCAAATTCTGACCAAGTTTAAAATTTAAAGTCCTGGACAATAGGAAACCAATTTAACCAGTAGATAAGTATTTAAAAAGCAATTTTTTGTCTATCACAAGGTTTGGAGTTGGCATATACCTTTAATGCTATAAGAGTGGGTGACATAAGATTGATTTTTAATTATTCTAGCAGAGTTTTAAATACTCCAAACTGCATTACTATTCTAACTTTCCTTGAAATTATAAGAGTTAAACCTTTTCCAATCTTATCTAGTGATTCAAAGTGTACAAAATTTTTGAAATGTCTGATCCATGCCATGAAGGGCACACATTACCTAGCATATACATAGCAAAAATTTAATAATCTTGAATTAAAAGTAGCCTCTGATATGCTTACACTAAAAAAAAATATCTTTGACAAATCTACATTAAGGAAGTTCTTACAAATCATTCCTATTTATCATTTTATTAAGACAAATATAGGATGCTGCTGGGGTGAGAGAGTTGGGATGGGGACACCCAATGCAAGAACAAAACAGGTAAAACCTCTTAAAAAAGGAAAAAAAATTTGATTTTGGTCACACAAAGATCTTGAGCTTCCAGTTCTGAGGCCTAACATCACCTCTTGTTCTAAAGTAAACAGACAATATTCAACACTTTGAAACAAAATAGCTGAAGGCCAAATTACTGTATTTTTGGACTATAAGACGCACCTCCCCCAACTTGGGGGGAAGGGGAGGGTCGCGTCTTATAGCCCGAATGCAGCTTACTTGGCTTGCTGTGGAGACGGTGGGCAGTGGAGCAGGGTCACGAGTTATTAAATATTTTACCACATTTTTTTGCTTCAAAATTTTTTTCCTATTTTCCTCCTCTAAAACCTAGGTGCATCTTATGGTCCAGTGGGTCTTAATAGTCCTAAAAATACAGTATATTACATGGGAGATCAAAAGGCTAATAAACAGGTAGACAAAATAAATCCAATCAAACCCAAAAGTACTTTACTATAGAATGATTACTAGCTACAATTTATGCAATATCTACATCAGATAAAAAAAAAGTCAATTCCTTATGTCAATTTTATCTCCAAAAATCTTGACAAAGCCAATTCCTTTATTTCTTGTTACATATCTCAGTTTATAACATCTTCTTCAAGATGTTATAATCCCATATAAAGAAAACTATCTTTACTAAGTTTTATATGCTCAAGTTTCACTTTAAAGACCTAAATCAAATGATTATTTTTTAGGTTTATTTAAAGAAGTACTAAAATAACAGTATTATTTTTAAAAAGCAGCCTTGGTAAATAAATGGGTAGAGTATCTGAGTCCCTTAAAAAAGTAAGGGAATCCATTAAGCAGGCAAATACCTTTTAATCCTTGGACTAAACTGACTAAATTCTGTTCCAACGTAATTTGCTTCACATGCTGACACCCTCAACCTCATCTATCTTCCCAAACAAAAGTGTACTCACCTGTGTTTACTGAAGAATCAGAAAAACCACCGGTAAGAAAATCTTTTTAAAAGTTTTTACCATCACGGAGCCCTGGCTGGTGTGGCTCAGTGGATTGAGTACCCGCCTGCAGACCAAAGGGTTGTGGGCCAGGTCCTCAGTAGGTGGTGTCTGAGGGGCAACCACACATTGATGTTTCTCCCCCTCTTTCCTTTTCCCTCTCTCTAAAAATAAATAAAATCTTCAAAAAAACCACAACAACCCCAAAACAAAAAAACAACAAAAACCAAAAAATCCATTTTTTTTGCCATCATGGATGTTTTGAATATTAAAACAGCTGTTTTTCCATCTGTAACAAACCGATGCTTTTTATTATAACACTAACATCCTGCCCAAGGTGTAGCCTATTTAAAATAGGCTTCGCTAAAACCATAACCCCAATGTAAAATCAAATTTGCAGTCCTCTTTAACAACAGTATTAACCTTTGGTTAGAAGGGACTCATGTAATGAAAGTAGTACTATTACATACAGTCATCTCATGTTTAAAAAAAGTTATGCTACATTAAGATGTGGAGAAAAAAATTTAATCAACAATTTAAAAATTAATGTAAAAGCTAGAATGAGTAATGGAAATCCAGGTTTTGTAGCAGATAGTATCTGTGTGGCAGCCAAAGTTTGCTGCAGAGTAAGTTTATCCAGGTTTAGGGATAAAAAGTAAAAGGAGATAAACACATTATATACTGATGCAAAACTACTTGTTATTACAGTTTTCACAAAAGAGGTAAAGACTTAACCAGCAATTTAAGTGCTAAGAATTTGCCAAGTTTTTACTCGTCCTCAACTTAGTTATATTTTATAAGCAATCTCTGATTGCAACTCTAAGATTTGATGCACAAGCACACAGAAATGTTTAAATGGAAAAATAATTGTTAAGTTAGTCAGACTCTAAAGCTGTATCAAAAACCTGTGTTCTAGAACAAATGTGGCAAATGACTTAAAAAAAAGATCAAATCTGTTTCTAAGGAATATTAAACAAAGCCTATGTAATACATACAATTACATTAAAGATTATGATATAACTGGATGTTATACATTTAGCCCAGCTCCCTAAGGAAGAACAAGTATATGCTTTCCCTCTAGAAAGAGGGAAAACTCACTGCTGAACACTGCAAAAACATCACAGGGGAACTGGGCATTGTAAGAGTCAGAAAATCATGTCATTTAAATCTTTTGAACTGTAATTCCATCAACTCAGAGTTGAGCAGGGTTAAGCAGGGCTTTTTCCCCAGAGTTACCACATATACATCTCAATACAGGCAAAGAAATTGTCATTTTTTATTTGGGTAACAAAGGGTCTCCAAATTATACTAAAAAAAGAAATCTTAATTATTATGACTCCTGTAAAAAAAATTTAGCACTTTTCACAAATTATTTATGTAAAAGAGAAGAAAATACACATAATTTTGTATCTTAAACTTTTTTATTCCCTACCAAAGACATTTTGTCTTTTGTTTTCTACAATTTCCAACTTGTACCTGTTATTTAATACTGCTTTAATCTGAAGACATTAACTGATTGCTTTCCTAAATCTAAGGATTATATAGTTTTAGTATAAATATATATCACATATTTTCGTAAAATTTTGACAAAACCGAATAAGCATGCCTTGTTTTAAGTCCATGCTCCTTCCACTGTTTATAAAATTTGATTTAATGATCGAAAATTCTTGGTTGCCATTCTTCAGTTACAACAAACAGTCTTCCTTCTGAACTGCCACTCACTTCTTTTTACATAATAACAAGCAATAGAAAAACCAAAGAAATTATCTTAATCTTAGTTCTTCCTTTTGACACTATAAAATAATGTGAACTTTTTTTTTAAATGAAACAAATACATCCAAAACTCAATACATTCAAATGAGCTGCGTCTCCTTTAAGGTTGTCACCTTGGAAGGCCACACACAGTTCATTTTCTTAACTATGCTACCACTGCTCAAAGTATCTTTAAAAACTCTTTTGGGATTGCCTCCAAAGCCAACTGTACCCTTTGTGGATTACCTCAAAGATGGATTTATTTTTTTGCAAACTGTTAAAAGTCATTTGGTGCCAAATAATGGTAACTATAAGACAATCAAGCTTGGGAGTACTTTTCTTTTAAAACAATGTGTAACCATAAAGTTAATAGCTTGTGTGACTTAAATTAGCTATGAATGCAATTCTAAAAGAGCAAAACCCAAGATTTTGAGCAGTGATAAATTGCTGGAATTAGGAAATAATTTTCCAGCATAATCACTATGCAGTGTAACATTCATTTAGCTGTCTATGTTCTGGCATATTTGTTTAAAGTGAACATTCTGAGAGTTAGAATTTATTATTTTAAAAAGGATTATCATTCCTAAAACAAATTTATTCCTTTAAAGCATCAAAGTTAAAAGTAATATGGAAGTATTTTGTTAGAAACTAGTTTTACTTACTTTATCAATAAAGACTTATTTTAAAAACTTGAAAGCAAATAACTAACTTATTTGCTCCCAGGCTTTTAAAAATTGTTAACTAAAGATAAAATTTGAAAGTTCTAAGGTACTAAAAAACAAAACAAAAACCCCAAGTGTAATAAAAACACATCAAGAACCAAACTACAATTTCTGAGCTGCACTGTTTATTTTGCTGCTTGAAACCTAAGTGACAGTATGCCACTATAATTATGGGGTTTCATCTAAACCTTTACTACACTGCAGGTACAGAAATATACGGACACATTTGTGGAGAATTGACATTTTGCAAAATGCAGCAAACGTTTTAATTTATACATGAGAAAAGGAAGTGTTCAAAAGGGTATGCATTTCAAGTTATTGCAGGTTATTTGTGAGAGAATTTCTGTAGGTAAAACATGTTTAAATTTAACCAACAGTAGCGTGTCAGTGTATTTAAAATCATGACAAAAATCTTCTCTCTGGTCATGTTGCCCATGACAAATTACTATGATGTTGTATGTTTAGGGCAAGATGTCAATACAGCATAAATCCCATGGCATTTTGGTTTTCTTCTGGAGATTAAAGCTGTTTTTCTTGGGATAAATGCAGCAGCAAAACACAAACCAGTTGATCAAAAAAAGCACTTCTGCCATTAACTCCAATAATTTTCAGGACACATCAACCGACAGTAGTTTTGCCATTCCCAGTTCTTTTAAGAATTACATCTCTGCACTGTTGCCTTAAGTATGTCTGTAAAAGCTTGTTCTCTGTTAAGCCAGTTTACTGACTACAGCCTGGTTGAGAGAATTTAGTTGGTTGGTCCATTTATCTAGTGCAGTATATCGGGCACCACCCCTCTTCTGATGATCTAGTTCAAGGAGTTGGTTGACTTGATCAATTCGGCCATGAATAGTGCTGGAAATAAATAAAAGAAGACATGTCTACAAACTGTTTTCACTAAGCATATCTGCTAGACTAATATTGCATCAACACCCACGATATCAATAAACGCAAAAGAAAAAAACTGCTGCCTACATTAAATGATGGAGTTCAGGATTAATTATAACATTAATTACCTTATTCAAACTATAGAAAGAAAGCAGATTTCAGCTGTCATCAATTTCACTGAAAGAACCAAAAGGCATAGACTCACCCAATCAATCAAGAGAAAATATAATTTGTGAAGCTTTAAACAACATACTGCTTTTAAAAAAGATAAGTTCAAAACTACTGTATACCATTCCTTATAGAGGAAAAAATACTACTCGTTAAATAATTCTCTAGCTGTATATGCGTCATAATACTGAATGAGAAATTCTTCTGAAAAACTCTTTAGAACTTTTTCAGAGACCATGTGCTTAATATCCTCATTCACTTATAAAAAACCATTACATTACATATGTAGCTCTTTTAACAGAAAGTTATAGACAAAGGGTGTTTTTTATAAAAAAATTAAGAATTCACCTGCTATCTTTGCCATCATTAGTCAAACTTTATGGTCCTAAACATTTTGTGATAAAAAATAGCTAAATACTTACTTATCCAATATGCACTGCACCAGCAAGCTCTCCACGTCAGCTACATCTATGTTTAACTCCTAAGACAAAAGACTCATTATAATTCTCCCAATTAACTTTTTTAAAAGTCAAAATTTTATACAATTATTCTGATTTTAAATAACAAATTTCATTATCACTTCAATATATTTCTAAGAACACAGGTATGATAAAATTTAACTTTGCAACATTTAAAGTATACTCTTAAAACAATTTCATTATGATTGGGGTTAAACCTTCATTAATTATATTCTTTAGCTCCCCTCTCTTCTATAATACTCTTTGAGGCTTAGGAAATCTTTAAAATTTCACAATCTTTATTTCTCTCTTCTGTTAACTCAATTTAAACCAAGAAAACAGAGAAAAATGCACATTAAAAGCAAAGTTTTTAAGTTACTGTGTTTAAGAAATGTAATGCTACCAAAACTTATCAAGTTGGAATTATTCTTCTAAATGGAAGACAGGTATACTGCTTTTATAACTACAAATTATAAATATTAAAATCTATGCATCTAAGTACCTTAGAAATAAAAGGAATATGTATTCTTGTGTAAGGCTTAATTAATTTTATGAGCACTTGTGTTCTGATATTTCTCAAAAGCTCTGAAAAAAAAAAAAAAGACAAAAATTAAGATAATACATTTGCATTTAATGGTTTGTATATCTTTATGTATCATATGTTTTTAAATCATATCAACTGTATCATGTATCTTTTCTTTACCTTCTGTCTGGCAAGGACATAAGGTATTTGGATCTAAGGATATTTGGGTCCAATAGATGCACAGTATAATTAGAGGCTTCTCCCATAATTTTTTGTTACCACCTCCCTAATTTTGCTCATGTGTTACTATCTAAAATATCTCCCTGCATTCTCAACAATACTGCACTGCTCACCATTTCCTCTATAGTTAACGTCTTTCAAGAAGCCCTGATTTACACCAGCCAAGTTCTTTATGCTCTCTCATAAAACTTAATAGTATTATATTTTATACAGAGATTTTATAATTTTCCCCAGTTTCTTCATGTTCAAGTGTCTTTTCCAAAAAGACTAGATTGAAGTTCATGCGTAAGGCTTCTACATTTCTCTATATCCAGAAAGTACAGTATCATCCTAGGTTCACAGAAGAACTTTAAAAATGTCTGTTGAATGAAAGAGAAAAAGAAGGAGGGGAACAAAAAACATTACTTCCAAAGTAGTCTTCAGATTTTCCTGATGCATCTGGAATTTTCAAGTATTTAAATAAGTAGTTCCAAATGGTCATTTAAAAACCCTCAAATAGCTTCATAACAGGTGGGAACACTGGAGGTATAAAAGAGGTCCCAGAACAAAGGAATGTTTTTTTTTGTTTCTGTGAGTCCAACAGAACTTACTAAAAATCTCATATACTTACAGTTACAATGTTAGTCTACCCTTCAAAGTAAAAGCATCTCACTATTTTCTATAGCAGGCTGTTTTCACAGCTTTTGTTACTTGTCAAAAATAAATCTCAAGAATTAACTTTGAACTTAAGCATCAGTAAAAATGCAACAATATCTAAGACAAAAAAGGTGAAAGGGACAGCCAATGATGTACATTCTTATATGAAATGGTCATCATGTAAGTACCTGATTATGTTAGTAACATGAAACTGGGTAATTTTAGAGAGTATTCTATCCAATGACAATATTTACAAATACTTCTACACTTTGCAATAAACAGAAGAGATACAGCTTAGCTCTGTTCAGCTCCATTAAGTAGGACTGTTTAGACAGTGACAAAGAAAGTGCCAGAACTGAGGTAGTCAAAAGAATATACCTTCAATGTGTTCCCTTATGAAAGGATCATCCATGATGTTGCTGTGATTTGTTTTCAGAATCTTTTCAAATTCAGTGATGTCATTATTCTGATAGGCACTAATAGAAAAAGAAAAGCACATATTGTCAAACATGAAATAGCCATGTACTTAAAGTCTGTTTTTCAATTTTTATATGTAAAAACCTAAATCATATAGTTTTGTTCATAGGAATCAGAGTTAAACACAAACACACACACATCCTTCTGCAAATAAAATGAATGTTTGAATGCTTTTGATTTTTTAAAAGATAGATTAGATAATCTTTTGGGATTATATGTTTATATATAGTTAATTTAAATCTTCTGAAAATCTTGGTATTGTCAGAAATGACAATAGTTCATTGACTGTTTAATGCTTAGTGCTTTCAAATTATATTACGCATTTAATACCTAAGAAACCAAGTTTCATGCATACTACTGTATGGAGCAGTTTGGCCTCATCTTTCAAATATGACAGTATATCCTTCTGAAGCTTATTCAGAAATGCAGCTTCCTAATTTTTTTCTTCTAGAAAGCTACCAGCAACTGCCAAAACTTTCCAAAGGGATCACTGGATTCCCAATTCTGTAGCTGAACATTTTACTCAGCTATACAGCAGAAAATGATATCAGTGGTGGATCATTAGTGCCAAATGGAACACACACACAAAGTAGACAGTGATGGACCCTGCTGCAGAAGGCCAAAGGCTGATTTATATTTGTGATTCTCTGAGGTATCTACTCTCTAGTCCTGAAATAATTCTGTGAGGCACTATGGGAATTGCTAAAGGTGCTGAGAAGGAAGGAGCCAACCTTCTGGATATGGCACCACTGTCTGCTTTATATGTAAGACATATCATCAGCCATTCTGCACGCCCTCTGCTGTGCTTCCATCTGTTGGGTCGCAATGTAACTTCATGTTAGGGGCAGGTGATTCAAGTGCTTCAACAGGAATTATTTTCCTCTAGTCTGCTGGCAACTGACTAGGAAGATAAAATTAGGAAGCATTACTTTCTCACCTACTTCAAGTATACTATTATAATATACTACAGGAGGATATATTCAAGAAGTGAAAACACTTACACATACGTTACATTTTAACCAAAAGATACTCTTCCACTATTTAAGTGGCTTAAAAAAAATCTTGTGCAAAATGTGGGACACTATAGGCCACTTGTTTGGTTCAAAATTTACCTTTAAAATAAGTTCCCAACTTCCAAAATAGAAGCTTTACTGAAGTAAATTGTAAGATATAGTAAAAGTACAAATATAGCTATTGCTTTGTAAAGGTCTCATAAATCAGTTTTTTAATCCATTTTAATAGATTTAACCAATTTAATTTAGATAAAATATTAAGGTAAGGCAAAACTTTCCCTCAATATTTAAGAGTTTTAAAAGTTTAAATTGTTGTATTAGCAATTGGACTTTAAAAACAATTTTAAAAAAGTATTATGAGGTTAATTAATTTCTAACAAAATCACCTCTTAGTTAATATGGCCAAATGTAGATGGAATAAACTATTTGAAACACAGACGGAGAACTTTCCTTTTATAATGAAAATCAACTTAGTGTTTATTAAAATAGACTAAAGAAATACACAATTAAAGAAATTAATTTTTTTAATGTTGCAATTTAAAAATTTAGAGTTTTATCCTTTAACTGTTCTTAGTTCCCTTAAAATATGCCCTGGCTGGTGTGGCTCAGTGGATTGAGTGCCAGCCTATGAACCAAAAGGGTTGCCGGTTTGATTCCCAGTTAGGGCACATGCGTGGGTTGTTGCCCAGGTCCCCAGTAGGGGGTGCGTGACAGGCAACCACACATTTTTCTCCCTTCCTTCCCCTCTCTAAAAATACAAAATCTTAAAAAAAAAACCATTATTTTACAGCTAAAATTAAGGTTTCCCTAAAAAAGAAAACCTAGTAACTTATAAAAAGCATTGACAAGTAAAAACAACAAAAAAAATGAGAACATTTTATGTAAGAATTTAAACAATATCATGAAATAGCTCTTTTTCCAAGTATATAAAGTTTATTTGCAGGTGACTGAATTTATAGTCTAACAGTAATTTTTTTGAATGAAAAAGACCATTGAAGAGAATGTCTGATCATCTAAATTACCTATGTGTATCTGCAAAACCCCCCTGCCTTATGTTCCTGACTTCATTCTCCATGCCTTAGTAAACTAAGCCATGCAATCTAAAATGAAGAACTTGAAATCTAGTAAATTTCTCATACTTTTCTACCAAAGAAGCCCATTAAAGCTTGGGATCCATTTATTCCTGGCATAGAGGGAAATTATTCTTGCTCACTAATTTCTTTGGCAAAACCAGGCCTTTTTTTCTAGGCTTTTGCTAGGTTTTTAATTTCTATAATTTTAATATTAATTACGGCTGTTTTTTCAGTTGGTAAACATCATTAGTCATATACATTTCCATAGAAGCTATTAATAAATCTTTAGGTATCTTACCAGTATGACTCCCCTCTTCCTCACCTTAGAAAATTATGTGAGGTAAACTTTTAAAAAATTATTTATCTTGTCAACTGAGAAAATATCCGAGTAAAGTAATTGTCTTATTAAAAATTCTTGACTTATGTAGACCAATTCAAAACTTCATTTGGTATTAAGGCAGGTAAAAACAGTAAATATTGTGAAATTGTTTTAAAACATCTACCATCAGTTTCTATGAAAAACAGCATACATACAGGTGAGCAAAGCAGCAAATACTTTATAAAATCTCATGCCTAACAAAATCAGCATAATAAATGACTTCAGAACATAAAAATTTCACAAGCTTTGGCATATTTCAAGTCAAAATACAAAAGTAATTGTTCAGAATTAACTGAATTCTGAAAAGTTCTCTCCTTTCTCCCTCCTTTATTCACTGTTTTAAAAAAAATTTACCTTAATTGAAATATAAAATCTTACCTTACTAAATTCGTCATTGCAAGAATTTCTGGATCATTTTTGTATGGTTTGGCCTAAATACAGTAAAAAAGAATTAACTATGTATACGTACAAAGTTTATTTCCAGAAAGACAGTTGATAAGAATTTAACACACATACCTCCTGGGAGTCAAATGGATTTATTCCTGATTTCATTAGCATATTTGCTAAGACCAAATATTTTAAGCAAGTAGTTCGCCTTGGACTTCCTGATTCATCATAATTCTTGAAGGCTTCAAAAAAATCAGTGTGTGCCTTTTCAAATTCACCTTCTCTCAAGTGCATTTTACCACCACATTCTGTAAAGAATGAAACAGGAGAAGAGAGGACATTTACAGTTGTCATAACAGCACTGACCACTTTATAGAAATCGAATGAAAACTGTTTCAATGGTTTCCAGTCTTTTAATTCTGCAACAAGAACAGCACTAGCCCCAGGGTACACACTTGAACTCTAAAAAGTAAGCTTTCATTAAATATCGGTCAAGTCAGCATTTGCACGACTATCTTCTCAACTGAAGTAGAAAGTAATTTTATACACATCATTACATCATTATAATTCTAGAATTGAACTTACGATGATAAATTTTCTATTAATATCTCCACTGATACAAATTTTACAGGACAAAAGTTGATCCTAATTTCTAAGACTGTTATCATTTCATTGATTTCACTACTTTCCCTATTACGTTCATTAAAACAGAAACAACTTTCAGAGTCATTCAGTTATTTGCAATTACACCTTGGTATCTTTCACGACACTGCCCACTCTTTCCCAACCACTTGCCTCTGATGACGCCCATGATCAGTGGATGTGGGATGGCAGACTTGATGTGAAGTGACTGTTCATAGAGTGCTTTAAGTTTTTTGTTATTTTTCTGTGCTGTGTACATTTGAATTTCCAAAGCATATATTTCTAATAACTGTGTACCCTTTTTCAGGTCATCTTCTCCATCATCAGTCTAGGAAAACAAATAATAAACTTTAGTCAGAGTAAGCCTAGTAATTTTTATTTGAGTGAGCCTAAAAACCTTACATTTATAAGTATTTGTAAAAGTTTACAAATTCTCTGTGAAAATGCACTAAAAATTTTAATTGGGACCTAGAGTCCTAAAAATACTGCCTTAAATGGCCAAAAAGGAACCCACACATTTTTGTACTTTCTAGTCATTTAGTTAGACAAAAGTGGCCACCCTCGCTGGTGTGGCTCAGTGGCTTGAGTGCTGGCCTGCAAATCAAAGGTTGCTGGTTCAATTCCCAGTCAGGGCACATGCCTGGGTTGTGGGCCAGGTCCCCAGTTGCGGGTGTGCAAGAGCAACCGATTGATGTATCTCTTGAACACTGATGTTTCTCTCCCTCTTTTTCTCCCTCCCTTCCCCTCTCTCTAAAAATAAATAAATAAAATCTTTAAAAAAAAAGTCATCAGAGGTATATTATTATACATAAAATATTAAGGTATATTATTACATATAAAATGTTATATTGTTTTTTAGCTAGCAGGTTATTTATGGTCTTCCTGAAATCTTCATGACTTTAGATCCACTGATTCAATGAAAAACACTCTCTGAGTGCCTTCTTTGTGCAGGGTACTGGGTCTGCCTTGGGGAATAAGTTAAATGAGCCAATGTACCTGGCCTAAAAACATACACAATTTAGTAGATTAATCTGCCAAGAGATAAATTACATTATAAATGATAACAATTCTGGTTTAAGCATGAATCAAGCACCTAGAAGAATGGAAGAGAAAGGGACTAATTCTCCTGGGAGATGTCAAAGGAGTAATAAGAGTGGTGACATTTGAGTTCAACTTTGAAAGAAGACCAACAACCACAAAATGCAGACCATGAAAAATAGCATGTGTTCAACAGTCAGATAATCATAAATATCAAATACCAATTTACACAAAGCCAAAATTTATTGTGTTGGCCAGAAAGTTTGTTTTTTTCTCATAAGATGGCTCTAATAGTGCTCAGTTGTCTTTAGCTTCATTTGAAACAGTTTTGTTAGATTGTACTGTGACAACTGTCACATCCAGTGTGCATTAACCAAATTTGATAAAATTTTACATAGCCATTTTAATATTGAAGAAAATACGCAACTTTTTGGCCTATTATGCTTTATTATTTCAAGAAAGGTAAATGTGCAAAATTCAAAAAAAGATGTATGCAGTATACGGAGAAGGTGCTGTGCGACCATTTAACGTGTCAAAAGTGGTGTGTGAAGTTTCGTGCTGGAGATTTCTTGCTGGGTAACGCTGCACAGTAGGGTAGACCTGTTGAAGTTGACAGCGATCAAATCAAGACATTAATGGAGAGCAATCAACATTATACAATATGGGAGATAGCCAACATACGCAAAATTTCCAAATCAATAGTTATTGGTGAAAATGAAAAATATGTCTTTTATGGAAAAAAACTAAATGGACTTTTTGGCCAACCCAATATTATTTATTTTGGTTTATTATTTAAGTTGGAAGCAACTTAAAACTTCTGTTATTCATTGGTAAATCACAACAGAGTAAAAAATATGACCTGCAAGACAATGTGTATATTCAGATTATCATGCATTTCTCCAACTACGTTATTTACAATCCAGACAGCATTTTCCTTATGCACTAAAATAAACCAAGCAAAATTTTCACATTCCTTATGAATACACTGAAAGACCCTTCTCCATTCAGCTATGGCTACTCTATCATTTTCATTTCATGTGAAACTGAACTCACAGTTGTTTATGCATCAGACTAAGAATGTATAGACTCTCCAAGAATGTATAGACTCGTGGTCTCCAAGAATGTATAGACAAAAAAAAATTCATAAATGACTAGTCCACTTTGTAAAGCAAAACTACTATGAAATACAAATATTTTTCTTGTTTTAAAAACTAAAAAAGCAAAAGAAGTAAATAAAAATACCTGTAGGTGATTTAGAACTCTTTCCTGATCAACTTTTCTTCCATTCACAAAAATAATATATGTAATTAAAATAATATTATATGGCTTTGGAAGAGCTTAAGTTTTTAAAACAGTATTTCTACACAAAACTTAAACTAATATCAAATAACTTATTGATCAAGATAAAAGAAGGAAATAGAAAATTATACCCCATAACTAAAAGTTAGAGGCACACTGTCCAGACCATATAGCTAGTCAAATTTAAATTAATTAATGAAATATAAAACAACACCTCTTGTCACACTAACCACATTTCAAATGCCTAATGACATGCAGCTATTGCTACCATGTCAGAAAGCACAGATATAGAGTATTTCTAGTATCACATGAACTTTTCTACTGGAAGTACTTTTATAGGGTATTCATACATTATAAACCAGAATATAAAGTATCTTTATTACATATGTCTACAATATCCTTTCTGATTTTCACAGGGTGCATAATTAAATATGAAAGGCTTACTCTTGGTAAGTAGTAATGACTGGCCTATTCATTTATTAAAACCTGTGCTTTATCCCACAAACATAAGGGCTGAAATTAGGTTTGGAATAGGAAGAAATATAAGACTCAGGAAAAAATGAGTGTTTTGGTCACTTATTTTCCAAATTCTATTTTTGGGATGATGCTTAAACAAAAACACCTCTAACCAATGTTTCAAACACAAATTTTTCTTATGCTCTTTTCAATATGAAGAAATGTTAATAAAAAATGAAGAGAGTGCTACCTGGCAGGACTGATGTAACTGGCGTAAAATTTTTTGAAGCTTTCCATATTCCTCCCGTTCTAAATATAGTTTTCCAAGCTGTAAACAAAGAAACATTAAAATCAAAAGATTTCAACAGGCCAAGGGATGCATCTTTAGGAAAGTTTACTAAGGACACCCGCCCACTCTTCAAAAGAAAACCAATATAAGTAATTATAATCGTTACCTTTGTGTTTGTCTTAAACCACAGTCTATCATTCTTAGCATCTTTTAAAGCTTCCAGTGTTGTTTCATAGAATTCCTGCAGTAAATCCATCTGACATAAAAAATCAGAATTCTATAATTGTAAACAGCAAATTTGTACCTGTTAATAAAGTTAATTTGAGCAAACTAAAAGTGCATCTTTGAACTTTAATACACATAAGATACACTATCATCTGCATCTTACCAAAAGTCTGCAACAGTCCACAAAATACATAAGACAGACCAAATTTACTAAAGACAAGTGTCAAGATCTGTTTTTATGTGAGTTTTAAAAATAAAACCCAGAAAATACCTAATATTTTCTCTAATACTACAGGTTTACCTCTTTCAATCTAATAAATCACTTTATATTTTAACCAAAGTACATGACTCATACACAGAACTAGTTGTACCGTTATTAATAGTGTTATCTTATTCACTTAACTCTAATTTGGTATACATTATGTGGCAAACACTATCTCTACTTAACAGGACCAAAAAGTAACAGGGTTATAAGAACAGGAAAGTCTGATACTTTCAGAAAAGTTGCCTATTTTTTCATGGCCACTGATGGCTTACTGAGTAAGTCAATTGCCACCCACTGAGTATCCATTCTTACTTTCAAAAGATAAATAGATTATGTATAATAGCCTGATTCAACACACAACCTTAAAGTTTTATAATGACATACCCCTCTGACACACACACCTGGCATAACATTTACAAATAGTTTACCAAAAGCGTTTTGATGATTCTTGTCTGTAGAACTAAGAAAACATTTTCCCACTTAAGACAGCCCCCTTGATATATAACACTTTTAGAATTAGTACCATTAAGTACAAATGTTCTAACAAAACATTTGAGTTTATCCTCCTCTACTTCCATTACATATATTTTAGATATAGAGTAAAAACAGTAAACTACCTTAAGAAATTAAAGTGATTATTAAAGAAATTAAAGAAAAGACAGAATGAAAGAAGCTGATTCTGCGATGAACATTTTTTATTATGAATATAAAAAGTATCAAGTACTAAAAAAAGTAAGAAATACTAAATGATATAGAGAATACTTCTTATGCTCAAATACCACAGTGCAAGAAAGCTGAAACTTAGGACTATGTTGCTTAAAGGAATATGAACAAACAATCCAGTTAAAAATATCTTAGCAATAAAATAAAATCATCACTGCTTTTCTTAATAACCAAAATCTAGAATAATGAAGGCACATCACCCCAACGGTCACTGTAGTTTCTTTATCATCAGCCCTTCCTGTCATCATCCATCATTCACCCATTCTTTATAGAAGTGATTTTTGAATAAATACCTAATGAGCAACACCAGGAACTAACTATATTAGTACAGGTTCTCCCCTTAAGGATCTTTAACTCATCAAATCTACACAAATCACCTATGATTCACTGTTACGTATTTAAATAGCTCAGGATGGCTAGCTGAAGTGGTGACAGAAATCAGAAGGAGCCATGATAGTACCTGGTAACGGGAATGTAATACAAGCTGGTAAAAACTGTGTGCAGATTATACCAGTATTTGAAGACATCATTTAAATAGATTAAGCTAGAATTAATAATATTTTTTAATATATATTTTTAAATCATTGTTCAAGTACAGTTTTCTCCCTTGTACTCCCAATCCAGCCCACTCACCTAACCCTCAATATCTTTTAATATTACATAATTAATACTATAATTAAGAAAACAGTATACATTATTTTAAAAGCATAGTAATAACTAGAGTAAATGCTTAAATAGAACTTCTAGCCTTAAAAATAAACCCCACAAAGCCCTCAATATAAATAATAAACACACTGATAAGTACCAAAAGGAAAACCAGAATCTAACCTGTTTAGAAGTGGAGATATAATCAAGAATAGAATTAATGGATTTTTCAGAATAATTTCTTGTGACTGCACTTCGAATATAGGTCAATAGTTGTTTATATCTGTTCATCATTTCTGGAAAGTTTGTCTGTGAGGGAAGAAAAATGCATATTAGTTTCACATATTTATGTACTAAAGTATGTATACATGGTTAAAATTATAGTACATATTACAGCATAATTGAAAAATAATAGTTTTATGTAAAGAAATATGACAGAAACACCATAAACACTTTAACTTAAATTTGAAATTATTAGATTACTCAGAAACATGAGCCAAACTTATGAAGGTAGACTATGCAAAACTACAACTTTTAGATTTTCAATATTTCAGATGCTGTTCCTCACTGCACAACGTATTTATTTAAGTCATAAAAACTACTGATATATTCACAAACAAAAAATATAAATAAATCCAACTTTTTAAATGCCTTGGGTACTAGCTCTACAGATCAGCTGTATCCTCTTCTGAACATCTGATCCCTTATTAGGAAGCTTTCTAGCAACAGTTACATGTTTCCTTCTCCCTGTTATTTGCTGACTGTTAAAATGCAAAGGAAAAGAATCTCTTCAAGTCCAGGTATTCATCCCACTATCAAGAAAAGCCCTCCACTTAAGACTCTACTAAAAAGGAGATGTAAGTAATGCTGCCATTCCTTGCCACACCATTTGCAATACTATGGTTATTCCAGGAAATATAAAAGATCTAAGGAAATAAAGGACTACAAGTGCAATTTCCAGCACAAATACTTTAGTGGAGGGTCTATCACTCCTCCAACTATATCATGTAAGCCAACTTAAGAGTACAGCCTTGTAATTCGCATTCACTGTCCCCATGATCTCCAACTGCAGTTATTTCCCCTTTTTACTGGGTTCTCTACTTTTAATCAAGTAGATGGAACACTGGCAGATACAATATTTTTCTTCTTGACTAATTAAAAAGAGCATTTATTAGGGAGGAGAATAAACTAATGAGACTATTGTTTTCTTGCTTATGACTGTGTCCTGCTCTGGGATACAGCATGAGAGACAAAGAAAACATAACGGACTCCCTAAAAATCTTCAAAGCAAGAGTTAAATTATAAAAATGAAAACAGTAGTAGGGGTGAGTGGAAAAAATGGGTAGAAATGGAAAACGCTTTAGCATTATATATCCAACTGCTTTTGTTTCTGAGTATGCCAGTAGCTTATGGGGATAAAGAATAGGTACCATCCTATCACTAAGTTGCTAAAACCCAAGTTACAGAATGTATCTTGTGGGAAAAGAAAAATAAGAAATATGACTATCCCAATTTTGAGATTACACCCTGAGAGTGAAATAGGAATTTAACAAAAAGGTTGTTTTGAATTCATTTTTTTAGTTTGAAAACAATACAAAATATTATTTTAATTTTTAGACTGATTACATGCTTATTTTTTAAGTATATTTTATTCATTATGGTATTACAGTTGTCCCCTTTTTATCTCCCCTTTATCCTCCTCTCTCCACTCCCTCCAGCATTTCTCCACCTTAGTTCATGTCCATGGTTGTACATGTAAGTTCTTTGGCTTCTCCATTTCCTACACTATTCTTAACCTCCCCTTGTCTGTTTTGTACCTAACATTTATGCTTCTTATTCCCTGTACCTCTTCCCCTATCCTCCCTCTTCCCCATCCTCACTGATAACCCTCCATGTGATCTCCATTTCTGTGATTCTGTTCCTATCTAGTTGTTTGCCTTATTTTATTTAGGTTCAGTTGTTGATAGTTGTGAGTTTGCTGTCACTTTACTGTTCATACTTTTGATCTTCTTTTTCTTAAATAAATCCCTTTAACATTTCACATAATAAGGGTTTGGTAATGATGATGAACTCCTTTAACTTGACCTTATCTGGGAAGCACTTTATCTGCCCTTCCATTCTAAATGATAGCTTTGCTGGATAGAGTAATCTAGGTTGTAGGTCCTTGCTTTTCATGACTTTTGAAGACTTCTTTCCAGGCCCTTCTTGCCTGCAAGATTTCTTTTGAGAAATCAGTTGATAGTCTTATGGGAACTCCTTTGTAGGTAACTGTATCCTTTTTTCTCAGGGCTTTGAAGATTCTCTCCTTATCTTTAATGTTGGGTAATGTAATTATGATGTGTCTTGGTGTGTTTCTCCTTGGATCTAACTTCTTTGGGACTCTCTGAGCTTCCTAGACTTGCATGTCTAATGCCTTCACCTAAGTTTTCAATTTCTTGCTTTTCCTCTTATCCTTCTGGCACCCCTATGATTTGGATACTGGAACATTTAAAGTTGTCCCAGAGGTTTCTAAGCCTCTCCTCATGTTTTTGAATTATTGTTTCTTCATTCTGTTCTGGCTGAATGTTTATTTCTTCCTTCTGCTCCAACCTGTTGATTTGAGTCCTGGTTCCCTCCCTTTACAACAGTATTCCCTGTATTTTCCTTTATTTCATTTTGCATAGCCTTCACTTCTTCCTCTATTTTGCATCCATATTAAATCATTTCTTGAGCATCCTGATGACCAATGTTTTGGACTCTGCATCTGATAGCTTGGCTATCTCCTTGTTGCTTAGTTTTTTTTTTCTGGAGTTTTGATTTGTTCTTCATTTTATTTTTTTTAGAGAGAGGGGAAGGGGGGAGAAAGAGAGGGAGAAAAACATCAATGTGTGGTTACCGCTTATATCCCCCACTGGGGACCTGGCCCGCAATCCCAACATATGCCCTGACTGGGAATCAAAGTGGCGATCCTTTGGCCTGCAGGCCGGCACTAAATCCACTGAGCCATACCAGCCGGGGTTGACCTATTCTTTCATTTGGGCCACATTTCTTTGTGTCAGTGCACCTGTTACATTGTAACACGTGGAGCCTCAGGTACTCCCCAGGGTAGTGTACCCCACTCTGTGCACTGTGGCACTGTACATGGTGTTGGGGTCAGAGAGGGAACAATGCTGCTTGCCCAGCTCTTGCCCTGCTTTCGGTCACTTCGCTCACTTCCCACAAATGGACTGTGCCCTTTCAGGTGCTGATTTCCACATCAGTATGGGATCTCCTGGTCCAACAGCTGCTGCCTTGTCTTGCATCTTCTTTGCCCCAGCCTCCTGCCTCCGTCCCTCCTACCAGTCTGAATGAATGTTTCTTCTTTAAGTCCTTGGTTGTCGCACTTCTTTACAGTTCAATTTTCTGGCAGTTCAGGTTGTTTTTGTTTTGAAATTGGCTGTTAACCTTCTTTTGGTTTTGCAAGAAAGCGAAGTGTATCTATGCTATGCCTCCATCTTGCTGAATTCATTTTCTTAGGCTATAATAACTCTGAATGAAATTCAATGTTCAAAAATTGTTACTATAATTAAATATTGAGGAAAGATTAGGTAAATTGATTTTTTTCTGCAGTGGTGAACACACAGAGCAGTGGATAACAAACCCTTCCAATTTTACACTGCCCCAAACCTACAGGGCAACATGGACCCTGCTCTGAACCAAATAGAAAATGAGGGGGCAGGAGTGGAAGCTGAAACTACCCTTGTAAACAATAACATGTGCACAGATACTGCTAGAACAAATTAAATGTAGAGAAGGAATGTAGGCAAAATAATAAAATAAAAATAATTCTTTCCCTTACTTGCTTCATATCTTGGCCCAAGGTAAAATAGTAAAACAAAGCCCTGTGGGTAGCATATGATTACACAAGTTAAAAAAAAAACACACAACTCTTAGTATGTTAAGATAGCAGATTTCTGCAATTACAGCAACACAATTTCTCTAGAGTTTCTGAGTATCATTTCAAATCACAGAATCCTGAGTTAAACCTGGCCCTCTAATCTCATTATAATTATTTAATCAAAATCTCTATCTTTTGAGACATCTGATGCTTCTTCAATAATAGTCTAAGTTATTAATTTAAATACAGTGAATATATTCACAAATACATGGAAAGAAAGCACAGGGGCTTTGTAGAACACAGAGATTCTCTGAGAATATCAGAGCAGCAGAACTAGAAAGGGTAAATGCAATACAGATATTCTTCCTTAACTATATTTAAATGCAATATACAATATACTTAATAACATTTAACATGTTTTGAATAGTCCTGATATTTTGGGGGGAAGAAATGAGCTAAAATATTTTGTGGGCAACTTTTGTAGATATCACAGAGGGCCCTTCCTACTGCAGGTGGTGAGGATGCCATAGTGAGGGTACACAAAGAAGAGCAGGATGCAAAATTAGTGAAGTTAACTGGATAAAGGCACTAATCAATTCAGGGAGTTCAATTTCTGACAGATGGAATAGAGAAGCTAACAGGGAGAGAGAGGAGGCATATGATAAAAACAGAGATGGGAAGAAAAAGAAAGCAATAACTGATTATTAGCTATCCTTCCACTTGTCCTAGAGGCAAGTGCTTACCTGTGCTTGCTAATCTAAGCTCCACTTTTATCTTTTCCTCAAAAGTTCCCCTACCTTTAGTGATCTTAAGATGCATGTCTGTACCTAGTCCTCTTGTCTACTAACTGCTTCTTTTTACTCTGCATTCTTGAAGATTGGCGATCTAGGAGAGTACAATGTCATGACAAAGCTAGCTTATCTATGAATTCATTCAACAAAATATTTGAGCATCTACTGAATGCCAGCTACTATGATAGGCGTTAGGAATATAATAATAAATAAAACAAGGTCCTGCTCTCATAGGACTTTCAACCTATGGGTTGGGTTGAGGGTGGCAGAAAGGCAATAAATAAGTAAACAGATCAAATGGCGATACATGCGAAGAAGGAAAACAGCAGGGTAAGATTGACAGTAAGTAATGATGGGAAGGATGCTATTTTACATAGGGTAGTCAGGGGAAGGACATCCCCATAAATGGTGACATTTGAATAAAGACTTAACCAAATGAGGAAAATAGCAATATGATTATCTGTAAGGAGCATTTGGGGCGGAGAAAATAGCAAGTACAAGCATTTACATAGGAATGTGCTCAGGTAGCATGAGTAACAGCAAAGAGGCCAGTTAGGGACAGAAAAGAAAATGAAATACATTTTGAAAAGCCATAAAGCTGCCTATATTTACCAATTAATTATTTGTGGGGTGAGAGATACAGAGAGGAGTCAAAAATGATGCTAAGATTCTGGTTCTAATCAGTGGAAAAGGAACTCTTTGTAGTAGAAAGTACAATGTTAAAACTCCAAATAAACACTAATAATTTGTGGGAAAGTTACTTTATTAATAATATAGCCAAATACTGTCCATGTACCTAAGAATAAGTTTTCTTAAATACCTCTGTTGAAAAAAAAAACCCCAAAACTTTGTATATTATGCTTCTTAGTATTACTGCAGTCACAAATGAAAGTAGTCTGAATATGAAAACATATAAATAGTCATTTTAGAGAAGTAGATATAATAGAATTTTGTTGCATGAGGTTTTTACCTACAGAACTTATTTTAAAAATTACTAGTTTAATTCCCCTTAAAACAAATCTTACCAACTTGAAGTTAATCTTAATCATTTGTTTCAGTGCTTTAAATCCCCATTCTCCCTTTTCACCTTCAAGTTCCAAAACCTAAAAACAGAGAAGAAATGCTTAGTTTAACTTAATACTGTTATTTTTCTAATGACATTCAATATCTCAGCTTTAAATTTATTTTACATCAAATGTATGAAAAATAGTTCCCCAAGAATTTCATTTCTCAATGTCATTTTTAAAAGCTTAAAAAAAGAAACAAGTCTTAAATACTTATTTAAGTATAAGTGAGCTTACTTTGAAGGTTGTTCATCAAAAGACAATATAAGATCCACTTCTTGATAATTATACAGTTCCAGAAGTACTTTTTCCCTCTGAATAATCCATTAGTGAGAATAATCCAAATTTGTATCAATAGTCAAGAAATCACAGTATTTAACAGTGAAACCACATCTTTGTAATCTGTCTCTCAAAGAAGAACAAGACTGCAGGGATAATACCTATTAACTATCATCTTGGTTCCCCTACCAGATTCATACTAGCTTTTCAGGATAATAGCCATGGGTCTATAGATAGCTTGATTGGGAAAAAAACAACAGCAGGATAGCCCTTTAGAAATACATGCTTGTACTGCATAATGCAAACTTATTTTGTAGGATCATCACTAAATATCCAGTATACACTTCTGAGAAAAAAAAAAAATCACTTGGAACATATTTGATCTAAGACATCATTAAAAATATAAACTTTAAGACACAAAATCAACCAGAAAAAATATGAACCTTCTGGAAACTGCTTAATGCTGCTTTTGGGTCATCTTCCTTTAATGCTTTGGAATTATAGTATTGATTTTCCAAATCCACATTTGGCTCGGAGTTACTATCTTCAGAGTATTCCTGTGTGTTGGGAAAAAAACAGATGTTAAAATGAAAAAAGAAACCCACACATTGCACAGTAAAAACTAAATATTGTTAAGATAGAAAAAATCATACATTTATACAAAACAAAACAACCCTGAATACATAGGTAAAATGTGCCATACTTAACCCTTATTTAAAAAACTAGGGGAAAGTCAAAACCATGTGTAAAGTATAATAAAATAATTTCTTTCTTTCATATCAAAACTACAGTATGATTTCCACAGAACTACCACAAAACAAAGTGCAAAGAAATAATACCGGTTGGTGATTCCCAATTCTGTAAAATGACCTTCTGTTAGTCATGAAAACTGATAAAAATCTATGTACTAATTATTCATCTTTAGTTCCACAATCAAATTTTCTTTACTATCTAAAACTAAATTTTATCATTTTAACACATACCAACTACCTAGGAGAAAGTGTATATGATGGAATAGTCTATTGCTAAATATGTTAATATTTGCCTTATGTACATTCCATATTACTAAGAGCTGTTCAGTTGTGCAAACATATTTTAACTACTTTTATAACAAACCAAAATATGTACAAGAAAACAAATTTATATAATTTTATGACTTTCATCACACAAATTTAGTTCCTAGTACTTAAAAAATAAAGTAGAAAGGAAAATTGGAATGAAACAACTATTTTGTAGAGCAGTATAAACCTAAGTTTAAAAACAGTTCCCAGCCCTGGCTGGTGTGGCTCAGTGGACTGAGCGCTGGCCTGTGAAATGAAAGGTTGCCAGTTTGATTGCCAGTCAGGGCACATGACCAGGTTGGGGGCCAGGTCCTGGGTTGGGGGTGTGCAAGAGGCAACTGATCAACACACTGATATCTCTCTCCCTCTCTATCTCCCTCCCTTCCTCTCTCTCTAAAAATAAATAAAATCTTAAAAAATAATAAAACAGTTCTCAGATATTCAATTTAATGATGAGATCATAAAATACACATAGATTAGTATAATAAAAATTACTATTTCGGGATAACACAGGATTATTTTCTTCAGGTACAAGTCATTACAAAGGGCAAGTTTATAACAAATTAAGAATAGTGCCTGCATGTAAACACAAAAAGACAAGAACGGTGTTCAGAGTTATTCCTAAATCCAAATGCAGTTAATAGATTTTTTAAAAGAGATATTTATGGAAAATTCTGTAATGTTTCAAAAGGCACAAGAAAGAAAAAGTATATACTGAGTGTAGTGTTAAAAAGCTGAAAAATACATAAACATAAGGTGAATTTTTCCTATGACCAGTAGATGGAGGGGCATCCTTGATGTCAGTTACAAAACCAGTTTTATCTGACCACAGTGACTTTGTAATGTGCGCCCTCTGGAGGATAATTATTTCTTTCTGTGAGGACCCAAAGCTCTGGCAGTCAACCTCACAGATTTAAGAACAATTTAGTTATGTTTAACATATGAAAATCCTTTGGAATACTTAAGAGATGAAATCAGATTTTGGGTAGCAAATAATTTCATAATCAGTCATTCACTTCTTAACCCTGTAATCTAGGTCTGACTACAGTGAAAGTGATCAAACTAAAAAGTAATAAATAATGAAAAGTCAACTTGTACATCAAGTGATTGCTTCTGAGCTAGGTTTTGAAAGATAAATGGGAGTTTGCCTCCTAGACAAAATAGCAGAGGGAGAAAACAGCAGACACAAAACAGGGTAATAGGAGGTAACTAAAGAAATAAAAGCAGTCATATTGTTGGAACATAGAAAGTCTAAAGACTTCTGCCTTCATTATAATCTATCCACTCCCCACCATTCTTGCCTACCACGCCACTTTCATCTCCCCAGAGATTATAATAACCTTCCTGTTCTCCTGTTAACCTTTAAATTTCAATCTAGCCATGTTAAGCAGCCAGAATAATCTTCATAAAATGTAAATGATCATATTCCTCTTCTAAAAAATGGTTTTCCATTACTCTTAAAATCAGGTTTAAAAATCGTCATCAATGTGACTCTTGACTATACATCCAACCGTATCTCCTATCAAACTCTTTCTTCATTCACTTTGCTGCAACCACTCTGGCCTTATATCATAAGTGACCCACTCTTTCCCACCTTTACATGCCATTCCCTTCTCTTTCTACCCCTCTTCATCTGGTTAACTACTGCATATCATTACAGCTTCAGTGTCACCTCCTCAAGGAAGACTTGGAGTAAAGAATCAGCTATAAAACCTACTCTACATCTTTGGAAATCATTTCTTCTCTAGTTAACTGTTTCAATAACATGTAGCAGTAAGTAGCTCAGCCAGAAGATGACTTTTCTACAATCCAAATCTTCAGAGTCCACCTCTAAAAATTTTTTTATTTACATCTATTTCAAAGTCTAAGAACCTGAACTCTCACTCAAAACCCACGTATTTTTGGTGTTCTTATCCCATAACAGATTACAAAAAAACAACTAGGCCAGGGTATGAGAAGAGGGAAATAGAAGTTGAGAGATACACATGATGGTAGTAGGCTGTGGAGCTGCAAACAAAAAAGAAACTGAAAATAACATTTTAGGAATTAAAAAGGTTAACGTCAATTACCTAGTGGTTAGTGAGATGACTGTAACATTACTGAAGACCAGAACCTTTCCATTTCCTACTGTGTCTGCCAGAGTGCCTTTCTGCCATTCAATCACTGAATGCCTGCCTCTTCAGTACAAGGTTAGCTACCTAAACTTCTGGGACCTGACTGGCTCCAGACTAATGATACTTCTAAACTTTAGATGTTGTAACTCCCCAATCACAATGATCAAGTGAAGACTTGCTCCAATATTTTGTGAATATATTCTTTTGTTTTTTTATATTATATAGATTAAGAAGTGGAATATGTAATTTTTTTTTGTATAACTGCAATTCAACTCTTAGATGCTATTGCTTCAATGTATAAATAAATGAAAATTGACATAACTGATAAGTTACTGACTGGCTTCTTATAATTGAGCAAATTCTTGTTTTGATCTGCAACAACCATGTTCATATGGTTTGAACCAGCCTCCATGACATCATCAACCTGTCATTGGTGGTTTAGTGAATCACACCATCAATACAAACTGTGTAGCCCAGCAAATTATTTTCAGTTATTATACTATCATGATTTTTAAACTGATGACATTTTGGAAAGTCTTTAATTCTGTTCAGATTTCTATTATTTATACTCAATGATAATGATCTTTAGTATATACTAACAATTAAGTACTGCTTAAAAATGCAAATTATTTCCCTTAAAGCTACTCATGGACTGAGACAGATATGCAAATGAAACAGCAATATAACACAATAAAAATAATAGAGACACATATTAGGTACAGTGGCAACTCAAAAAAAAAAAAAAAAGTAACCAACTACTCTTGAGTAAGTAAGATAGAGGAAGGAAAAGTTTTACCTGAAGCAGCTCTAAAAATGTGAATAGGAGCCCTGGCCAGTGTGGCTCTGTTGGATGGAACATTACTGAAAGGTCGAGGGTTTGATTCTGGTCAGGGTTTGATTCTGGTCTCAGTTTGGAGCACGTGCAACTCTCTCACATGGATGTCTGTCTGTCTCTTTCTCCCCCTCCTCCTCCCTTACCCTTTCTCTAAAAATCAATACGCATATCCTTGGGTGAGGATTAAAAAAAAAGGTATGAATAGGAGTTGCTAGGAATGAGGGAGGGCATTTGAAACATAGCAATCAATGTGTGCAAATGCATGGAAGCTTTAAATAGTATTGCGTATTTGGAAGAACCATGAATTGGGCCGAAACACAAGCTGAGTGGAATGAGATGATGTGAGATAAACTAGTAAGGACAGAGCAACAGGAGTATAGAAGTCTAGCAAGGAGTTTAGATCAAATGGAGTGATTAAAAGGTTTTACAGAGAAATAATCATATTTGTGTTTTAGGAAGAGAACTCTGGTAGCAATGAAGCAGCCCACTGGATACTCTTACGATAGTCTGGCCAAGAGATAATGGAGGCCTGATTTCAAGTGGTAGAATATGGAGAAAAGGAAGGGGATAGAATTAACATAGAAGATGTAAAGTGATGTTGAAAGTGTAAAATAGGAAGCACCTAGCACATGGGAACAAGATAAAGGAAAATACATCTATCTCTAATGACTACAGTGCCATTAGTCAGAATAGGGAATATAAGTATTAAATAAATATTGCTAAAAAGAATTCCCATATGTGAGATGAATGGGAGACACACCTAATTTGTAAATGTTAACACTTTTTTTCAGCCCTGGTTGGTGTGGCTTAGTGGATTGAGCTAGACCTGCAAACCAAAGGGTTGCTGGCTGGATCCTAATCAGGGAACATGCCTGGGTTGCAGACTAGGTCCCCAGTTGGGGGTGTGTGAGAGGCAGCTGCCAATTGATGTTTCTTTTGCACACTGATGTTTCTCTCCTTTTTTCTTCCTCCCTTCCCCTCTCTCTAAAGATAAATAAAATCTAAAAAAACCAAACTTTTAAAAGTAATTCTTATCTGAGGATATGTTTATTGATATTAGATAGACAAAGAGAGAGAGACATTGATGTGAGAGAAAAACGTTGATTGGTTGCTTCCTGTACACACACCGACAGGGATTGAACCCACAACCTTTTGGTGTACAGGATGACGCTCCAACCAGCTAAGCCACCTGGCCAGGGCTAATTCGTAAAAGGTCAACTAAGGTATTTTTTAAAAGAGAAACTGAAACTTTAATAAATATATTAAGAGTAATTTAAAATACAATGAAGAATTTAAGCAATTATTTGAAAAAGAAACAAGTACTTGAACATTGTTAAAGGTATTTAAAAAAACCTACTAATAGTTCCAACCTACTTATATAATAACTCATGTCCGGAGGGCTCCCCAAAGCAATCTGTGAACCATCCACACCACTCAAATCTATTCTTCCTTTCTCGAAAATGTCACACAATTTAAAGTCTCTGTTTTGGCATAAACTGTTCTCTCTCCTACAAATTCTAACTGCCTTCTCTCCTAAGAAACTTCCC